AACAGAAATATCTTCCACTCTTTATCGAGCATCTTCATCAATTGTCCTGTCACAAAAGTCACTTCCCGTTTAGCAATTTCAGACAATGGTCTTCTAGAACGTGGGTTAGCTACGTCCCATGGATTACAACGTCTTTAAAACGAAAAGAAAAACGTCTCGTAATGGTGGTGTATGAGAGAGAATTAAATCCGTAAAGCTTATACTAGTTGTCCTTGATATCAGTAGGAACGTACTCTATGATCTTTACACAGTAGCATAATTGTTCTTCTTCAGTGACATTTTTAGGTCACTGTCCTTTACCTATGTCAGGTCACATGCATATATTTGCAGGTGTCGGACAATGATGCGTGTCATTTTATAGAATGTTATTTTATTTGTTTATTAGAGTTAAATTTATTGACAGGTTCAACGATACAAAAAGTTATTGCAAAATATTCAGAATTTTCAATTAGGTATACCAGTACATTAAACGACTTTCGGAAATAAAATGCTTTTACTTATGAACCGTAATACTTACAGTGCAATATCACAAAGGATATGTGTAAGTTCTCTAATGTAATATACTACAGTGTATTTGAAACTAGACCTCTTTAGTAAATAGGTCTTTTTGTTGAGAAAGCTTGCCAGCCAGTAGCATCCTGTTAGTCGATTATTTTCCCTCGAGTTTTCCCGGGTTCTTCCTTCACCAAATATACTGGCCACCATGTGTCATTAGTATCGTTATTAAAACAGCCATTAATCATTATGCAGACTGACCTTTTACCAGTTTTTACAGATCTTACAAAATTTGTCTCTCTACCTTAGAACCTTGTTTTTTTTATCACTGCATGTTTGTGATATTTGGTAAAATCTGTAATGTTTACGTACAAGTTCAGAGTCATTCTTCGTTTTGAAATTAAAAAAAAAACTGTCGGTATAGAACTTTAAGGCATATGGATATACATGTATTTGAATATTAAAACTAAACTGGCACCTTTCAAATAACATATACTGATATTACGCTCACACTGTATTAAAAAAATATAAAGTGATTCTCCATATACATCAAAGCAGCGAAAGTACTAGTAAAATCGTTAAAAAGAATCAAAGATCAATGTCGAAATTAGTTTTCAAACTCGATAATAAGGTGAGATAAATTCAACAATTAAAAATGAAATTTCGTTTTTGTGGACAGTGGTGACGGACGTATTTCTAGCCTTTGTGAATCGGACATGAGGCTATTTAGAATCATGATGAAAATTATTCTTGTCACAACACAGGATTATGTCCTTGCCGGGAAAAGCTAGCAAAAATAGAAATCATTATTGTAGCTTTAGTAACTTAGTGAATACCGCGATAGAAGTTTTCTTTATTGTGGAGAGTGATCAGCAAGTTGCGTGTCAGTCGTGAACCACTAGTTTTTGTGCAGTGTTGTATCAGTTGGTTCGTTGGTGCTACCCAAGAATTATTATTGTCATTGACATTTAGCATGTTGACTCTCTCTCTCTCTCTCTCTCTCTCTCTCTCTCTCTCTCTCTCTCTCTCTCTCTCTCTCTCTCTCACACACACACACACACACACACACACACACACACACACACACACACACACACACACATACACACACTCAAGGTCAAATAATAGGTACCTATAACAGCAATAATATCAATAACACAAAAATGAATGCAACGTTGATGGTATAGGAGTTGGAGAATGAATCACACGTTCAAAGTTTACTATATTTCGGATTTGCCATGGAGAAGGTCTATCGTAATTATTCCTGATTTATCCTGCAAGTGTCAATTTCGATAACAAAGTAAAGAAATCTGTCGTCAGTAATCCTTTAAATAATCCTTGAATAAAAAATACGACTCTATTGGGCCATAGCTGATGGTTGTTAAAACCGTTTTCGCGAGTTGTTATTGAACTACTGAGACGTAACGTAATTGCAATGAAAACATTTTTTTTTATACTTTAACTTAAACAGTAATCAACATTATATATATATATATATATATATATATATATATATATATATATATATATATATATATATATATATATATATATATATATCACTTTAGCATTAATCAAAATTCAATACACAGTACCTTAAATAATAATAAATAGTTAATATGCTGTAACTAAACGAGCAATCAGAATTTAATATACTGTACTTACACAAGAACGTTTCTTTTGGCACATAAGTACGTATAATTATTCCTAAACAAAAATAAAAACAGACAACAACCATCGTGAACAGCTATGGCTGTTAACTACCTACCCCTTGTAAATACTGATTGCGTCATAGTACAGATGGTTGGTTGGGATCTCAAGTAACCATTTCCAGGTCATCCAAAATAGATACATCAACATGATGATTCACCAACCAAACCGTGAACGAACTACATGGTTCACCTGTGGTGCAGAAGATACTTTCATTCATAAATTTGATGACAGAAGAGGCATTTGTTGCCAGTACGATATACAAATGCAATTCATTTAAAAAGCCAATGACTCATTTTTAAAAATTAAAGTTGTAAACGTGATAAGAATGGTAATGTTGACCCATTTACACTCCGTCAAACACTCCTTTTAGATCTCATTGACCTACAGTGAAGGTTGTTATACATGAAAATGGAAATCAAGGATAATGCTGTACCCTTGAGAATAATGTTTCGGTAATGATGTGAGTCTCTGAGAATAAATACTGTCAACATAAATCTCATTAAGCGTACCGTATATACCCGTTTATTAATCTAGTCCCATTATCAAACTGCACTGACCCATATCTGCCGTCGCTTAATGCGCCGACAGATCTGGGTCTGTGGAATTTGATAGGAGACATCTATTGGACAAAAAAAAAATAAATAGACTCTTTTCTGCATTCACATTATGCTAAGACAGATGATGATATGTTTGCTTGTAATTTGACTGGACTTACAAATGGGTGTACGGTATAACTGCCAGTAACAAGTTTTCTTACTCAGTAGCAATATACCGGACGTTGGTGCCGCCATTTCTTTGTAGCTGTTTGTAGTATGCTACATGCACATTATTTATCAAACAAAAATACGAATCTGTTTTGATATCTCTTTAAATCAAGGATGTAATAGAAAACGTTCGTTGCCTTAACTATGTATTAATATGTATCCCAGGAAGAAACAATAAAAAGTTAAAAACACTCTGCACCTGAAATCCTTGAAATTAAGAAGCTGTAACATGGATATACCCAATTAAGGAAATCTTCTGAGTAGTCAGTGACGATATGCGCATGACAATGAGGTCATTATGGATATTTTGGAAAATCATGCCTAAAATCGCTGAGATCGCAAACAATATTGTTTATTTCTTTGCAAAAGTACCGAATATCCTTACTTTTTTTCCCTACGATGTAGCGCGGCAATGTCAAACTACGGACTCTGCTGCAGAACGGGGCTGAGTGGGGATTCTCAAACTTGCCATTACTGTAATGGTGTCATTATCATGCTAATGGAGTCACTGCCAAATAAGGCATCGTACCAGTGATTCCTCCGACTCAGCGATGTGATAAGGGTAAATGGCGCATTGGGTGACGATGATGGCCTAAAGGGGTTTTGGTGTCTCAAGGCCTCCTATGCAAACAGCAACTGCTCCGACCGCCAACTTCCCCTTAGTACACTACTGCTCCGACTGCAGTGGTTCGTCGATAGTTTCACATCCTCGGTGTACATAAAAGATCAAAGAATAAAATTGGTGAAGTTTTATTTTCAAAACTACCAAATGATATTAAAGTTATTTGTCGTATTGGGCGACTAAGCTCTCTGCAAGAATGGCTAGAAAATGAAGTAGCTGCTTTACGAATGAGAGGAAAAGAAAACAAAACGCTTTTATAGTTTTAAGACTTACAATAACAGTCATGTGAACGAAAATGATAAAGTCAAATTATAAGCAACCTTTACGAAATCGTTATTTATTTACAAGTTGCCCTAAATCGACCACGTAGACTTCCTGTTGTATAAAATTACGTGAACTCAACAACTGTATTCTATTTAAAAAAATAATAGTTCACCTGCATGTCATTTTCTTCGTGCGTTTGATAAGAGAAGTCTATTTCCAAATCTGCAAACTTAATGGAGTTTTAAATATTGCGTCTTCTATTAGTGACATATCCTTTTCCTCATAATTATCAATGTAATTACCCTTACTAAGGTGCATGTATGTTTGTATGTATATAAACACACACACACACACATACATACATACATACATACATACATACATACATACATACATACATACATACATACATACATACATACATACATACATACATACATACATACATACATACATACATACATACATACATAAACGAGTATTTTTTTTTACAGTAGATTGTACACTAAATTATCAGTTAAGCTTTATGTTTTCGAAAGTTAAATACTGTGTCATTTAAGAAGCGATCGTCCTAGGCGTTAAATGAAGTCTACTTCAGAGTAACTAAATTTACGGTATCATGTTAAGATGTTATGGCCGTGAAGACTTGCCTTTGGATAAAAAATATCCTGGCGTTATGATGTGACTAAACACACGGTGAGTCAATCGACCACGTATTAGGTACAAGATTTATCTGGTGAAAATATATGGTTTAGATTTTTTACTTAGCTTTAACAATTTCTCAGTCATATCGCTACGATGTCTGCAGTGTGACAGTTTGTAATGATGTGCACTGGAGCATCATGCCGCAAACAGTTGCGTAGCTTGGGGAGGGCCAGGAGTAGGGAAGGGGCAGTTGTCTCTGGGCGCCATAATAAGGAAAATAGATTGTATTCGTCATCTCAGATGCACTCGAAGTTTATAGGGTTTTTTTCCCCCTGGGCGCTAAATACCCTCGCTAAGCCACTGGCCGCACACATGCGGCATGATGTCCCACCCAGTGACATTATCTTGACACCACACCATCCAGTCTTAACACTAACCTCTTAATGCTGAGCTCCAAGCGAGGAATTTGTTAGTACCATTTTTTAAAGTCTTTGGCATGACTCAACCGGGGTTTGAACCCGCGATCTCCCGCATCCTAGGCGGTCGCTCTAACCACTAGGCCACCCTGGTGAAAGTAGGTAAGTTTACTAATTAATCAGTTTAGTCTAACACATGATAACTCGTTTTGAAGCAAAGTACGGTTTTAATTTAAGACAGGCATAAAATTACAGTAATTTCTTAGAAAATTGCTCTTTATATTTCATTGGAGTGTTAAGAATATCATTTTTTAATGAATCGTGATAGGACGTGGGGAATATTTCAACATTACAATAGATCAATATAAAAATTATCAATTAATTGAACGTAGTGTAATGGAGAATTAAACGTCCCTGTATGCCCATGACCTTTTTCTAAATGCATAGTAACAAGATTCAGTTTCTCAATGATTCGTCTTTACTGATGCAGAATTGTATGTTGAAATAATTGTCAAAGCTGCCACAACATACATTTGTCAACTTTAGTCTTTATAGACATTTTAAGTTAAGAATTATTACCATCTGAGTCAGAAACAATAACAGAAAGAAACAACAACAACGACAACAACAAAAAAAACTAGGTTAAAAAGTGTAATCTAAACGTTATCAGAGAGTCGATATCAATTAATAGCTAAGGAGATTTATCGATATATTTCCCCTAAAATCAAAGAAAACGCCTTGATTCTTTTAGTTTAGAATGGAATGACATTCATTTTGTTAGGAGTCAAACGAAAGCTTCTTCCGGGTAGTTCTGATTGTTATGCTGTGTCATGTGATGATTGCATCATTAACTGTAGCACATGCATGCAACCTTTGCAAGAGTCGATTGCAATTTGTATTTTCGTAACCGTAAAGGTAAACTGATTTCACAATTGCTTTCATTATATTAAATCTCTTTTATTTTCAAGTTATTATGTCAATATTTAAAGCTGTAGCTAATTAGATAAGTATGTATTTCCTCTTTCAAAGGGATTTAATTCAGTTTTATTCATTAGTACATACTAGTAACAGGAACATTGAAGTGACATTAATGAATAAACCACACACTAAACATGTAATACATTGAAACCAATACAATGATTGCCATTAGGCCCCTACGTTAAACTGATATTTTCGGACTCATTCATAAAATCATTAGCAATTAATGAGCAATCAGTTCAATGATTAAGTCATTTCATTCAGGTGTAAATTCAGATGTAGAATAGGGTGACTAAGAATGAGCCGCCTTGTTTTACAGATAAGTTGTAAGGCTAGCTTTCAGAAAGGGTACTACCTACCTTAACCCTGACATTTCTAGCTTTCAAAACAAATGGAGATAAAGTTAGACATTCGGCTCATTAGGTCTAGGTTGTCTATGTCATTTACTATGTCGCGCTTCCATTGGTGTCACAACCTTCTCCAAGTCGATAAAGATGGCTACGGAGTGTGTTCTTTCTCTATAAGAGCTTCTCTAATAAATGCTGTAAGTATGTAATAATGGTCTATTGTGAACTGATATTTGTGACCAGATATAGAAAGAAGTTTGTTAATTACCATCTGTTCTGTCATGGATTTACAAAGACACCGTGTTAGTAGTATGGCGCGACGGTTCGAAAGAGTCGGTATAGTTCTTTCTAGGTTTTGATAGAACTTTTACTTCTCACAAAAAATGACAAGTCACTGCTTACCCTAATTTTATTAAAACAAAATTGGTTAGTGCATCGAGAGCTTAATCTGGTCAGTGTTTCAAATGTTGATGATGGATATCAAATGGTACTGCTGACATGTCTTGACGTTCTTCGCGACATCTTTGCTTTTAAGCTATTGACAGACTTTATCAGAATAAATATCATGTGATAAGTTTTTCTGAGAATGTATTGGGAAATATATTTGAGATTTATTGCCAGGTTGTTGTTATTTAATCGTATTTATGTTATTGTTTGATATGTCTGCTTTTCTTTTTTGCTACTAATATTTCGTACCATAATTTGTGCTGATTTATTAAAGAAACAAGAGTTCAACGTAAAGACAAAAATAATCTGTATGCTTCCAATTGCATTCTCTAATGGCACGAAGAACGTTACCTCTGTATGTACGGTATTTATTCAGAATGTTTGCTGGATAAGATGGTCATGATCAGATTATTGACTTGAGTACTTGGAAATAGATACATTGAGCAAAGTGTAAGAATTTTAGAATGCAATGTAGTATTAAGATTGTTTTGGCTGTATGAAGATTTACTTTTTATGATGATGGATACTCCATTAGCCTTATCAGTATATCTCGAACAATTGTTCAAGCTTGTTTAATTTTAAGATAAATATCTCATTTATTTTAAACTAGTTTCCTGAATGCTGACAGTTATTGGCACACGCCATTTAAGTAGAAGAAATATTTAAGGAATATGTGCTTTTAAATCTTTTTTAGTCAATTATATTATTTAAGTCATATACGGAAGTGCTAGAAGTAAGGAACTTCTAAGAGTGTTCACTAGCGATGCATAGATGGAATTTCTAGTGTCCATTATCTCTATATTCAAAACTTGTTAACGAGCTTACTACCATTGATTAGAACTTGTAGATTATTTTATTCGTTCTTTGTTTGGTTTAGGTCATGTATTTTCTCGTCTTGGACTAGATCTAAAAAGTTTATCTATATCCTCTTTCGTCCCGTAAAGAGGACATACATGATCCAGAGATATTATCAATTACACTGGTCCTATGGTCACTAAAGCCTGTGTTTTGTTGCTATATTCGCGGGCTGGATATCAATGGCATTTTTTTTATTGCCGTGGGGTTTAAATTACCAGTTTCACTCTCCGATAGCGATGCAGCTAGAATGGGTTTAGGAGGCGTCAAAACTTTAAACTTTCTTAATTTCGCCAGGAACTGTATGTCTGTTATAGACAGTGTTTATGAAAGGTATCTTCTCAACATCGGCCGTGCTAGCGTAGGATTTGCTGGCTGTATTAAGTGGAACTGTGGCTTTCACAAATTTATATGCCACAGAAAAGCTCATGACTTTCTCCTGCTTAACATATTGAATTTCCTTCCCGTCTTTCCAGTGGAAGAATCCTTTGTGACCTCTCCAGACTACATCCTGACCAGAATTGTAGCTTACTGCAGCTGCCTGGGTGGTGGTCAAAGGTTTGACAGTTAACATACCACAAAGGATTAAGGATGAAATATTTGACCAAGACATTCAATAATCCGTCTTTGATAGATATAGGCAAAGTGACGCATTCGAATGTCATTCTGCAAGAGTGTTACACATTAGCGATACGACAATTGTTATTCGTTTCACTTGTGTGACATTCTGAGATTTGAGATTATTAATCATCTCTCTCTCTCTCTCTCTCTCTCTCTCTCTCTCTCTCTCTCTCTCTCTCTCTCTCTCTCTCTCTCTCTCTCTCTCTCTCTCTCTCTCTCTCTCTCTCTCTCTCTCTCTCTTGCTGCAGCCATCAAAATCTCCACATCGTCAAACCTCCTCTATACGAACTGAATAAGAAGCTTAAATGGACATCTCCATAAATCTATTATTGTGATACAGATTGTTAAAGTGAGCGTCGCAGCTGTACTCTAAACGCTATTGACCAGAGCAAAGTTTGTTTTTAGCACTCTTTAGCTGTCCAGTCAAGCCCATACTGAACTGAACTATCACGAAAGGTGATAGCATAGTTACGTTCTGATTCTCATTTACGATGAGAAATCTTGGCTATTTCCCTGAAGAGGAAGTTTCCTTTTCAAAGTTACTGACTGAATATTTCGTGGTCCTTTTGAGACCATATCGCACACTATTGTTTAGGGTTATTGTGTGCTGTTCCATAATTATATAGTATTATTTCGTCACCTGTACTCCGCAACAGCATCGAAACCCAGCAAGAGGAAGGACATATACGCTCATTTATTGTGGTTCTCATGTCAGGATGATATCCTAGAGCAGAAAAGAAAGTCTACTTAATTGACTCTTACCTTCTCCATCAGAGACTATCCCTTTATAAGGTTGCAAGAACAACGGCCCGTTTCTTTAATCACAACGGTGATCGTTGAAAATTATGCAGATCATGTATCCTTCGAAACACAGGACAACGTTATCTTTAACGATTATAGGCCTCATGAATTATATCACAATTGTTTTGTCTAAACAGCATTTTTATTATTTAATAAAACCATATATTCTTAACTCCTTCGCATGCACAGACTCGAAAGCACTACATGTCACCAATGCAGAACCTTCTCATTAGCGGTGTAGTAAGAAATTCTGACTTGCAAACCACCGCCACGATAAAACGTAATCCTGGCCTCAACTGAATAAAACTTTTGTTCGATGTGAATTTTAAGGGTCCCTGTAAGCCCTCTTCCCCGTTTATACACACAGCCTCTACGGGAAGATTGTGACCCACAAGTGTAAAACAAAAAAAAATAAATAAATTAGACATTCAAGGTTGATTTTTGAACTCATAACAACCAAGGAAATTCATACTTCCTACAAATTAGTCGCCTGAATGAGTGTGCCAGTTTTCCGACAGTAAGGTCAAGATGAACAAATGCAGAAGGGTCTTATTAAAATTTTTCAGCATAATTTTCTTCTTCTTTAAACATTCCCGATGCAGATTCTGAAGAGAAATGTGTTTGTATTTTTAAAATATGGTTCTCTTTCTAACTTGAGCACAACATTTTACTATAATTTATTTCCATTAAATCCGTATTCAGTTGTACCAATTCTATGATTTCATCATATTAGGAACTTAAAAATGACTAGCGAATTAATTCTTATCGACAATGCATTTAGTTTTCAAACCAATACGATGTCTGCTTGTTTGATACTTTATGCAAACAAAAACGAAATTTATATTGCTTTATTCCAACACCAGTGGGTTATCCACCTCGTAACCTCAGGACGGTAAGCTGGTAGGATGCCCCAAGCATAACTTCAGACAAAGACATCAAGAAACACCTACCTGTCCCGCCCTAACATAATGTGTATACAATTATGTCTGCTGATACTTAACTCCCAATTACATAACGATCCGCCGTTCCATATTTTCTTCTGCGTTTATATAATACACTTTACGATTTTTTTTTTAAAATTCCAAATGTACGTTTAGCATG